ATCGACCTTGCTGAGCAATAAATGTGAAATTCTTAAGAAAACTGATATTATCATGGATTTCGTGACACAAACTAACCGAAATACTACTTTGGACGATTGAACAGTTTTAATACGGAAAGATAGGATTAGATGAAATTTTCATCGGGGTGGGACACCGCATGTATCGTAAGTTAAGCTAATTTTGTGATCATTTTTCAGTGACTTCAAATAAATTTTTATTTAAATAACCATTTGCACATTCTGTTTATTATATCTTCTTGCAGTAGGTGTATTCCCTGCTTCAATAATTCATTCAAACCCTAAACAAACTGTTCCTAAATAGAGGTAGGGTCGAAATTCCACAAAAAAAGACGCCATTTTGAGGGTAATTTCGATATATTTTCTGCTTTTTCTCTTCTTTTGCTTTTATAACAATATCCTCCTTGCTCATGCAGCTTCTTTGATTTGTTATTGAAACATACACAACGATGTCATGAGAATTTGGTCGGCCATCTAAATTTAAATAACATTCTTGTTATGGTCCCCCCGCAGTGCACCACTAGCAAAGAATGACTGAAATAAATACTTTAATTTCATTCCAGCCATCACCCCACCAAACAGGTTCATTGGATGGTACGTGGGGGGTCGGCGTCTTTCGATTAACCCCGTCACTACACGCACGGGGGCGCCAGTGAACTCTAGGGAGGCCCGCAAGCTCCAGTTTTTCTGGGTACCTACAGGGCAACAAGTGGCTTATGATGGCTGGACGAAGGCGGCGGGCGTGCCCGGAGACTATCAGCCTGACGGGAACGGTCCTTGCATGGTCCTCTGGATTGGAAGGCGGGATTTTGTTGACTACGAGTTTGATGATTACAGCTGCAATGGCAACGTGGGGGGATATGTGTGCGAAAAGGCATTGGTTTAGCTATGAGGATAGCATACACGCGAGCCATCCATTTCGCAAAGTATCTCTGGCGAAATTATCTGTAAAGGAACTCTCCGTGGGATTTATCCGCAATGATGAATTTTTCTGGGTTAAAGAGCAATTTTATACCAATTACGACTCATCCTCAACCTGTCCCTGCCTTTGTATTTGGTGTCTTATTCCACGTCTAATTTCATTGATTTAGTTTTTAAATGACTGGCCAGTCCAGTAGAACGACATAGCCTTCGCGATTTTCATCTTCCTGGCCTCGTTTTCAGACAGGAAAAAGGGCGTGATGTTTTGTATCACGGCCCTATATCACTGTACTACAGACGTTGCGAGCTGCTATAAAAGATAATTTAAGGGGTTTATTATCGTCGTTAAGGTATAAATTTGGAAATATAATACACTTTCAAGGATATAGATTTGAATGTGAGGGGTTTTCAAACGCATGGAGAGTTCCTTTATTAACCGGAACCATTTTTATAAGTTGTTATAAGGCTTCAGGAAAACCGAGAGGTTGATTGTATCACTATAAATCTGCCAGTGCCAATTGAACAAATTAAATTTGATATGGATTTATTTAAAGAAATTGAACGAGTGTACATGTAAGTCACCTCACCGTTCCAAGTGTAACGGGTTTAGAGAACTGTTGTGCTGGATGCATGGTGATACTGTACTGATATATTAATTCGATAGCACAAAAAAAAAAAAAAAAAAAGAAAAAAAAAACATATTTGATATGATCAACGTAAACTGACTTGCAACAATTATTATTGAAAACAGAAAATGGCGATATGCATTTTGTGAAATTTTCATTTTTTCTGAAATTAAAAGCACACAGCATGAGAAAAAATTGCTCTGTAAGATTCTTTCGCCCTGACCTTAAACGCGACTGTTAACATTTACAGTACTGGTGCAATTTCTTTTTTCTCTAAATATTGTGGCTAAAACTTTATACATGCTTTTGTGAAGGCAGTGAGAAAAGCCCGCCGCACGTACAGTAGTAGATACATTTTCACGCGCCATACTGCTGGCCTCGCGAGAAATGTAGAGTAGGTCCGGCCTTTAACAATTCTACCTTTTTAAAAGGTTAAAATAAGTCGAGGCTCATTTAGACGAAAATATCTATGCACACTTTCTTTGTGTTATTTCCTGAACATTCAGACCTGTCCTAAAACTTCATGTAAAAAAACGTATAGCTGGTTCAACTGGGGTTCGAACCCAGGACCTCTCGCGTGTGAGGCGAGCGTGATGGCCACTACACTATTGAACCTCACGAAACGCTAGCGGAGCTTAATACATTGACATAAATATGGGAAAGAGCCCTTCCACTGTTCTATCTTGAAATAATACAGCAACATCCAATATTTATTGAAAAAACATCCAATTTTGCAACATTTACAGTGACCGACTTAAAGATAATATAAGCGTTTGCCAAAAAACTCCATATTTTCTGCCGTGCATACATTCAATGTTCAGTTACTAAATTTAAAAAAAATATATACATGTATACGCATGCCATCATATGGGTGACGTCATAATTGCGAGTTTGGGGTAAAAATTGAAAAAAACCCGGTTTCTCAAATTAGTGCTCTAAAACCTTGCAAGCAATTCTTCGTAAAAGTCTAGTTCACACATTTTGGCGTCGATAAAGGAAAATAACGCCATATTTTTTATGAAACTTTGTAATTAACGGCTAATAACTCCTTAACTTAACTTAAGATAGGTTTGCCACTTTTGGGTCAATTGTGTCAAATATATACAAGGCAAATGAAATAACCCAATGATGCTGAATTTAAAACGGAACAGTCTTTTTTAATATATCTCTCCAGAAAATACATGTATGAAGTAAGAAACGATTTGCCACTTATAGGTGAACGTACATGCATAAACAACAAAAATTCAATTAACTTTGTCGAAATAAATCGACGTTGCTGATCTTTGAAAGGAACATGCATATTTGTACCAAAACAAAGGTACCCCCAGCACTCAGCAAAACAAAACAAGAACAGCGGCTCGGACTGTTAACATGAATATTAAAGGCCCAGTCACAAATCAGTTGCGATGCGTCGGGGATGGGTAAAACCCGGGAAATTTGAACAAAATCTTGAGACAGATCTCACGATTTTGCACCCGTCGGAGGCGCTCTCCGGACGCCTGCGGATTGTCGCAGATTTTTTAGACATCGCCACACCCGTCGCGGTCCCCAACTTTGAACTTAAAATCTTAAGATTGCTCGCAAGATTTTTCACCCATTTTGGGCATCCCAGACACAATCTCCGATGACCTACGATGCCCTTCGATTAATCGGAGGCGTCCTCCGAATAATCTGAGACTAGTCGCAAGATTCTGTGTGGGATTGGAAAATCAGGTTGAGATTCAATGTCTGCGAGTAGTCTCCGGCGCCCTCCGACTGAATCGGAGGCGCCCTGCGACGATTCGTACGCTTTATGTGGTCGTCTCCGACGAATCGTACGGTGGAATCGTAGTAAATCGCCGTATATATATATATATATATATATAATACAGATGACCGAGGTCAGAAAACCCTCCTTTTAACCCACATATACCCAGGGGGAAAAAATTACAAGAAAAGACGCTCGCAGAAATCGTCTCCGATCGCCTCCGATGCAATCGGAGGCGATCGGAGGCTAATCCCACGATTTTTCGACAAAACCGGGTCAAAATCCTTGAAAAAATCTCAGACAATGTGACTGCTTCACTTTTATTAGGATTATTGCTAGGATTGTTCAAGGATTCTTTATTTTCTACGACGACCCCCGGCCAAAACTTATCCCCGACAGATCGCCTACATTGTGACTGGGCCTTAAGATGAAATATTACACGAAGGTGTAGAGATGGTACCTTATTCATTACAAAGGGTCTAAAACTTATAAGATCACCTTTTGTATTTCCGTCTACTAATACAATATTCGTATTTGGCGTGGCTCAGTTTTCTATTTTGCTTATCATATAGCTGTATAGCTATCAGAACTTTTCCAGTGTGCAACACAGTATGTTTTTTTACGTTATTATTGCTTTGATGTGTTGCATCTCCTAAAATAAACGCGTCCCGATGTTTAAGTTCCCATAAACCAGTTTTCGGGCAAACCTGCATAATGGCACGTACACGTACGTGTGACGAGGGGTCGGTGTTCCCGTTTATATTGCGTGGGCATGTATTTTATGTGACTATATAAATCAACGCAAGGCTCCCAGGTGCTCGTTGCAGTTCTGACGTTCATACTTTTGGTGAAGAGTCTGCAGCAGGATGAGAGCGGTATTGCTGTGCGTTGTTGTGTGGATTGTTTGCGGCATAGCGAACGGGGCCAAGGAGACACGCGGTGAGTTTAATTTTTTACGTTTACCAAGAGTAAGTAAAGCAATCTGTTAACATACGTGCTACATTGAACATTTGTTATTTTTTTTAAATGTCTGTAATGATTTTGTTTCGTTTTGGATTTTAAAAAAAGATTAGGTTTGATATAGTTGGTATTAACAAGAAATGGTTTAAGTAATAGTTAAATTGACATACTGCTCAAAGGGGACAGATAAAACATTCTTCACTTATTAAAATCGTCGAAGTACCAATCATATTGTACAAAATTAAAAATTAAAAAAAAAGTTTCAAGTTCCATTGTATTATAATTTTGAATTGTTGCCAAAACGATTTCTAATTGTAATTGTACCAATATCTGTTTGAAATATAAAGCAGGCTTGATTAAAACAATACAACGGCAAGTATGATTGACTAGGTATTATGAAACTATGGTTAAATATTCCTACAGGTAGATATCAACGAAAAACAAAATCATGGTGAGTGCCAGAAAATGAGAAGCGGAAGCGTTCAGGAATCAGTTTGGATTTTTTTATTTTTCTTTAGAGGCAAAAATGTTAGGGAACCAATATCTTAACACGCTTCATATGAAGTTTAGTTTAACAGTCTTTACATTTTTATCCATCGCCTTAAGCTATTCACTTTCAAAACCCCTGCAGAACTTAGCGCTGGGAATTACGCATCTCGAAATTGACCCATTAACAGAGGTCGGGCTGATACCATAAAAGAACCAACATTATTTTAAGGCCTACCCTACCCGCTTAACTTTGCAAATAAGCGCATAGCTAATCCAGGCTGCACAGTGTACCATGTGCTCTTTTCCCTTGAATTTTGCCCTACAGTATATGTAGAATGAAAGGTGAACTAAGGTGCTTTTCGCGCCAAAATTCATATTTAACTAATTATCCCGCATTAAACGGCATTTCCTCCTGATTTAACTTATATTAATATCGTATGATCATTATAGTATAGATTGAGAATCGGGTCTTGAGAGCTACGTCCCCAGATAAAATTCCCCCGCAAATGTATAAGAATTCGAAAGGACGTCAACCGAGAAGACTTGTGAATAAAGTTAAGTTTGTAAAATACGCGTGTGAAATACACTGTTGAACCACAAATATTTTCCGAGATGTATATGATTACCCTAAATGATTCAGTTCGAAAATAGTTTCAAGTTTTTTTTTCGTTTGTAAGATAAGTTTTTTGGGTATTGCTTGATATATCGATTTAGTTATTTATTGGTTACTTAGACTCGTGGGTCACTATCATAAACGGGCCTCTTCATCATTCGCCAAGAAACAAATAGATGCTGTAGTTAAAAAATTGCTAAAAGTAACTATGGCCGATGTTTTCAAGATATTGTCAGAGTTGAATATTTGTTCCTCCAAACACCAACATCTATACATCCGCATATTTGTTATGAAATGGTGATGGTGTATCACGGTTATTTATTTAAAGGTTCCGAAGAGCAACGTAATTCCAAGTCCCGCCTTCTTTCCGTACTTCGCAGCACTGACAAACGGGGTATCCTTGATGTAAGAAACCCTACATGTATGGTCTCATTCAGATAGACGCATCGTTCAATGTACTAGTTGGGTCGGTCCAACTGTGCGAAGATTCTCTCGCTACATGAAACAGCTTAATCACCTTAAATAATTGTCTGGTATGCCTCCGTCGAGCAGCTGAGGGTAACTTAGCCGAGCTCACATGAAATTGAGTCACTTCCTAGCTGCTCGGGGAGGCGTGTCTTTCAGCTTAGCCCCCCCCCCCCCCCCCCCCCCACACACACACACACACACACACACAGATTTGGACAGACACAGCTAATACGATGTATCTATCGGAATGCTCCATATGTTTCTTTGTGGATTGTTAGTGGTAATACATATCGTTTCTCTTTTGGACTGCTCTTACAGTTTTCTTTTAAAATGTACCAACCGTTTAATGTAAATATATGCATTTAAC